TGGTAGCTTAAGCTGATGTCGACGCGGTTGGCCTCACTTTAGCCCATTCTTGCACTTTCGCTGAAAAGAACAAGACGTATGAGAGGTTGAAATTGGTATTGAATTCTGGATTAACCAAACGCTACCTGATCCATACAAAATAAAAATTATCCCAGCTGCAATATTGAAACCGCTACAGATCATAAATGAGGCAAGCCATTTGTCGTGAAAGCCCTATGGAATTCCAGGTGTTTTCCATAATGCAGACAGCAATGAAATATTGGAATCTAACCATTTTTGATATCAAACCTAGCATCGTAGGACCGCATATATTTCCAAGCATTCCAAATAGCATTGAGATCGAAGTGATTGATCCAGAATAAGGCGGTGCTATGCACAAAATACATGTGAAGAAGCCGCATATACCGGCGGAAAAGAAGGTGCCTTAAACGGCGGTATTGCAGCATTTACAATGCAGAAGCGACTTACTGACCGTATAGCCCAAGCAGTGGAAGTGCAATGTAAGGATTTTCACAATTTGGTAGTGTTGCAAGGGCAATAAGCGTGGCCGCTGATCCGAATGAACCTGTAGAATGAAAATGGACAAAAAATTAGAAGAGGGTTGACATAGCTGCTCACCGATAGACTGAAAGACTTTGGCACATTTCGTATGACCAATGATGTCTTTCCTTTTGAGATAGTCCGCCAAAATACCCAGAATATTCTTTGATACCAGTTGCGCAATAAACGGTATCATTGTGAAGAAACCATTCTGGGATGTTTCTATATAATACCCAAATTTTAGGCTAATTTGCGTAGCTTACTTTGTTAAGAGGCAGCATAAGCTCTTCCTTGAGAAAAGTTGGTAGAAAAGCTTGAAGAAGGGATGCTTGTAAATTGTAGGTGAACTGACAGAAGACTGCAGCAATCAAGGGCTGCGAGCTCAGCATTAGTTTCCATGGGACAGGTAGTTTGCTCTAAAATCACACACATAATGAAAAGATTACCAACAAAGAGAAGCTTTGTTTAGAAAAGCTTTAAAAACCATTGACTCAGGGACTTATTCGGCAAGGCTGTCAGAAAACAACAGCTAATAGAAGGATAAGGGAAGGCCGAAGCCTCAAATAAGGAAATCCATACTCTTCATGTTCAAACAGCTGCTGAGTCACTAAGTGTGGAAGTTTTTTATGAAAAACTTATCTTATTAGAATGTAGAGCTATCTTTATGGGAATGCCGCAATTGCAGAATTATTATTTGATTTGATTTGCATATAGTTCCTTCCTCTAACCTTCTGACTCGGATGTTGTCAGCAGTTGCGCCAGCACGCGATGCGCGCTAGTTGCTACCTTCGGCGCAGAGCTGCTCAAGATATCTCCGCACTTTATAAGGACCGGCCAACTCATGGATCATAGGTGTGTCCCGACCAACGTCAAATCATACTCATCTGTGGAGCTTCAACGCAATCACCGTGCACTCTCGATCAACCGATCCTTTTGTGCTCATAAGTGTTAAAAGGATAAGCCAATCCTTATAAAGTATGGAGTACTAGAATTAGCATATGCTGCTGATAGGAAATGCTGTTGTTCACTGCATGATGACTACCAAAAATGTTAGGATA